AATTATTTTTTAGCAGTTGCCAATTTACAGATAAAGCAACACTATTATTTATTTGAAGCCGGTCTTTCCAATATGCACCCAATCTTAAGCTTATTTAACCACTTACTGTGTATTAAACTACTAAATAGACCATTATTACCACTGAGCTCCCTGCAGTTTGTTGCTGGCAAGGCTTTAATGCCCCCTTTGTCTTAAAACAGCTGTTTAGCTTAAGGCTTTAAATCAAAACAGTAAAGCTGTAGGGAGATGAAAGGTGATGAAATGCCCCACATAATCACGATTTTATTTTAAACACAATTAAAAATACTGCTGCATATTTCAAGGTAAAAATGAAGCAATGGTGGTCAGCAGCAAGCCTGCTGTTCCCTTGTGTGGCAATTATTACACAATCCTAGAGCAAAACCTGCAGAAGGCAGGACCCGCTGACCCTGGCACATGTGCCACAGGGGCGAGAGGGAGTGCGCGGGTGTTGGCGAGGTCTCAGGTGGATGAGGTTGGCAGAGAAGCCCTTAGTGGGTTTTAGCCTTCAGGCTTGGCTGCACCAGTGGTTAAAAGGATTACAAACTGATCTGCACCTTGTGAAGAGCAGAGGGCTTATTAACACCACCACAAGGTTAAAAAGCTCCGGTTAATCTGTGCAAGTGTGGTAACTGATAAGGTGCTTCCTGTCAATGCCAGAGGTGACAGCGAAAGTTAAAGGAGATACGCTTTAGTGGAGAGAGGTGGTTATTATCAGGTAATTTACTACCTGCAATTGTGGTTTTTGCATTTGTAAATGTAAAAAATCATCTGAGCACAACATTGCAAAGAGCACTTTCTTCATTTATGCTGATGGGCAGCACTGATGATGGTGGTGTCTTTTTTGCTAACGAACCACTGTAACACCGGCTAATGATAAAAATTTCTTTCTAAGGGTGGACCGTTTACCTTTTGCTTAGTCAAGTTTCACATGACCTTGATGTACATCTTAGAAAAATACTGCTGTGTCAAACGCTTTAATAAATTGACAAAAAATATAGGAAATGATGCAATTATGATATGTTAATCTGATGCAGTGGTATTGTTTGTACACCATCGTAATAATGCTGGTACAAGATCAGCAGTGCAACTGACCAATCGCGTTCAATTAGCACTAGCCTTAAAGCTAGCTAACGCTCGGATGTCAGATCTATGGAAGCCCGTTTCCGCCACTAAAAAAAAAAAAAAGCTAGTATCCATAACTCGAAATTTCGAGTTATTATCTCGAAATTTCGAGTTATTATCTCGAAATTTTGAGAAATATAACTCGAAATTTCGAGTTACTTTTCTCAAAATTTCGAGTTAGCTCTGCCAATCAAAAATATACGTGAATGAGGTCTCTTTCTTGTTACCCGGAAGCATATGGTGCAGGACCGCGCACTCAAAAACGGATCCCAACAAATTAAAGTATGTTTGCTGATAGTAACACCATGTGATTCAGCTAATAACACAGGGATTTCATCATTTGTGAAGCCAGGCTGAAAACACTCAGCAATCTGTGCATTCATGACTGGATGTAATACCGGTAGCTTAGCTGTAGCATTTGTAGCTGAGGGCTTCAGCTTCCGGGTAACATGGAAATGACGTCATTCACGTAGATTACTGATTGGCAGCGCTAACTCGAAATTTCGAGTTGCTTTTCTCAAAATTTTGAGTTAATATGTCGAAATTTCGAGATAATAACTCGAAATTTCGAGATCCTTTTTTTTTTTTTTAGTGGCGGAAACGGGCTTCCATACAGATCGGATATGCTGCTTGGTAAAGTGTTTATTACATTGTATAAATTAATAAAGAAAAGAGTGGAAATGTTTACCATTTTTACCACAAGGGAGTTTTGTATAATCAATCACATTTTTTTTCCCCACATGCAAAGCTATGACATCACAACAACATGATTGGTCAATTGCGATGTTGATCCTTGCTCAACATTATTATGATAATGGCGGAAGAACACTAACTCTGGGGTCTGAGACCCACCACAGTTACACAGGTTTACACTGAGATATTCATTGATGGATAATAATCTAAAGATTCTGAAATTTAACAGCCAACATTAGCTTTTTTTCTTCTCTATTTTCTCATATGCTCATATGATATTATTATGGGATACTGAAAAATATGCCCGCAAAAGCCATTTTGAAACAATGAAAAAATTGCAAAGACGCATATTAGATGAACGAAATGACAATTTGTGACCATAAGTTCCCGTGGGAATCTATCACTAAAGAGGTTGCGATTTTCTTTTCAAATATCTGTCATCTTTTTGTAGGAGTCCGTTTTAAACGGTTCTTAGAAAAAACTGTGCATCTGCCCTCTCTTTACCAGTCTGACACGTCATTTGTCTTCTGGCAGCTGCAAGGAAAGGCAAAGGATAAACACTGCCGTTAGAGAGATAATGTGATCAAACTGTGGGAGGAAGCTGAGCGAGAGTGTTATTTTGGGCTCTGAAAGAAAGCTTGAAAAATCCAACATAAAACTTTAAACCTTAACAGGAAATGAGATGTTTTCCCTCCACATCCCATCATATTATTTGCATCTGGTAAAACATGAGAGACTAAAAGAAAAGCAAAGACAGGGGATTTTCTGATAAGTAAAACACTACAGACAACACTGGAAAAGGTGAAACACATGCTGCAGACATTGGTCTTGGCCTCAAATGTGTGTACATAAGCACTTAGGATGCATGAGAATTTATCTGTGACTAGGAAAGCAAAAGAAAGATCAAATGAAGAAAAAAGAAAAAAGGCAAAGAGTGGAAAAAAGAGCTAAAGAAAGAAAGTAGTAGATGATCTGGCAGGAATATCATCAGCTGACCTTTTTATTTTTTATGTCAGCTGCACAGCTGTTACTGCATGTGACGTTTGGTAAAATCTGTCCACAGATATATAAATATGAGCACCATATAAAGTCTTTGTGGTATAGTTCCTGCTACAGGAAATCTCTCTAAGACTTGCTACTGATACACACAGAGTTACAAAGTGAAAAACCATATCAGCCTTGCTGTCGTGGCTGATAAACAGAGGGAACGCTGGAAGAAAGCCCTGCTGTTCTTCAGCTTGGCAAAGACTGTGGACGGCAGCCCGCGGGGATCTGTGATGGCTTTGGCTACCTTTGATATGGTGATTAACATTTGCCTCTGAGAAACCGAGGTGGCTGCTGAATTCAAATCAGAGGAATGGTGCTTTTTTCGAATTACAAAATAGCACAAACTATCAAACAAATGATCAGAAATCAAAACACAAATACTCCACCATGTGAGAGTTCATATTGTAGAGATTTTTTTAGGGTTTTTTAAGCTTAAATGCAGTCTTGGATAATGCTTTGACAGCTTTGATCAGTTCCAGGCTTTGGAGTGAGATCACTTAGCTAATTAGGATGCAATGCTGAAATGAAAAATGCAGCTGGTTGTATGGAGACGAAGCAAACTTCAACTGTGGGAAATCAGAGTCAGAGAAGAATAAGGCAGTGTTTTTATTCTTGAGTGACAACCTAGCCACCAGTTACACTCTGATATTTTGTTAAATTCAATAAAATAATGGATTAACAAAATAAAACATTTGGTGTTATAATAGAGCTGGTGGTACACTGAGTTTCCAGTCTTTGTGCTAAACTGCATACCTCCCTGCTTCACTCTGTTAAACCGGTAGATGCCAGTGACACTGATTAAACTAGAAAAAAAAAGTTCTCTAATTCTGAATTCTTCTCTCATTTTTAAATATATGAAATCTGAGTAAAATTACAACAAAGAGTAAATTAACATGTATGATGTGAAATGACTCCTCAATGAATTCGTATCCAGAAAGAGAAGCACATTTCCTAAAATATCATACAGTTTATTTAACAGAACAGCTGTGGAAACAGTGGACAGCTGAAATGAACTACAAGGGCAGTTTATGAGTCCCACACCGTCTAAATTATATACGCTGACCTTTTTGGGGGTTTTTTCTCTGAAGTAGGCTGTGTTGGATTTTTTAGCAAATGTGAAACCAATGGAGGTCTGCCAGGACTGGCTGTAATGTGTTACATGCATCAAGTGTTTGTAAGCAGCTTTGCTTCTTGTTCTAATTCATGTGTGGCCGAATAAAGTTGTTCAGTCAGGTTATTGGCGAATACGTCCACTGAACCAGTACATGGCTAGACTGAAGATACATTAATGCTGGCAAATGAGTTTAAAATTGGTAAATGTGTAAATGTTCTACAAATCGTTGCTATATTGATATTTTAAATATACAGTAAAACATCAAGCTTGGGAACTATATATCAACCAAATGTGAAACCTTTATGCATTTACAGAGTTCTGCTGTGTACACAGTACCCTTACATTACTGTAACTCATCAACCATTTTGGTCATTTTTGGTAATTCTGTAATTTTGGTCATTTTACAGCCAAAATTTGAAACTAAGTCCACGTGGCCTGTGAGCTGTCTGGGTAATAAAAGGTTAAATCCTACATTTCTTTCTAATGGCGATTTCTCAGAAGTTTCTCAGAAGTCTTTCTCGTGTTCTCTGATTTATGAGCTCGGTAAAGATTTTCCTTGTGTATTTATGATCTCAGTTACTACTTTTAGTTATTGTTCAGCATAGCTTAATGTTCATGTTTGAAATTATTGCTCCCATTTAGAATGAAACTCATGTTAAAGCTGGACATGTTTTAGGGTGTGCTACCTTGTGATTGGCAAGTCAGCAGTGTCTGAACACACAGCATTCTTCGGTTTCTCATAATGCGTAGTTTAAAAAAACAAAACAAGATGGCGGCGGTCAAAATGCTGAATGCATCTTTGACATGCAGTCTGTGAGCAAAACTCACTTCTGGCTAAATCAACTTAGTGCTGATGCTGACATGCATTAAGGGTAAAATTCAAAAAGCCCATTTGGGAAATGATCACATTGCACACCCTGAAACAGTGTAAAAGTGCAACATGAATATATATCTTCTAGAAAATCGTGCTGACCCTGGTGCCTTTTTGTCCCTGTCTTCCCAGAGCCTCGCCACCTGGGAGTCAGAGAACAAAATTCACTGTCAGCAAACTCTGGTGGATGGTGACGGCCCCAAGACCTTCTGGACCCGAGAGCTGAATGGAGATGAGCTCACACTGGTGAGCGCACACTAATAAGTCATCTTCTCACTGAAAGCCTCTTAATAGATGACCACTGTTGCTTAGAAAAAAACCCCAAAGCAACTTTACCAACACAAAAGCAGAAAAGTCGAGGCTAAATGAAGAGAAAGACAAAGAATGAATGTTCGCCTAAAAATGTTATTTTACACGGATCGAGAGCAGGATCTGTAAGGTTTCTTCTGTAAGGCATCACGGCTTGGACCCAGAAGACATCAGATGCATTAAGATGTGCCTTTTGAGCAACTAGTGTACTCTGTTTGAGAAATGGTTAATAAAACTCGGGCAGTGAGTGTATGAAGTCACCCTGGAGATTCATCCATAAAGGAAATGAGAGAGGCTGTTTCCCAAGGAGGCAAGCTTTCATCCACCCCGCAGAGAGATGTGAAAAGAGAACAAGAGGGGCTGCTACGCTGACATTGCAGTAATACCCCCTGTATTTATCCAGATTAATATGGGCAGGAGTCAATGGGTCTGAAGCCCCTCAAATGACGTGCAGGGGAGCAGAGCAACGCATCAGAAGACCAGTTCTCAGGGCCTCAACAGCTTTCTATTCTCAATGTTCAGCGCTCCCACACTCATTCCTGTTGTTCTTATGAGATGAATATCCAAAAGGCCAAAGCCTGAAACAATATGGAAGGTTTAGATGCTGAAAATAAGTCATCACAGAATGTTTATATAGCTCTATATTACAGGCCAGAATCAAGCAAGAAACAGCTTAAATCAAATCCTCAGTGTCTAAATAGTATTTTGCTCGAAGCTCCTCGTTCAAACTGACAAGCTGAGGAGGCTGAACATATGAATTCTTCTCGAGGCGATAAAAGCAAAATGTGTTACAGAGCTTGCCCCTCTGGTAGCCATGCTGCTGTGGAGGAGCTGAAGCATTCACACACTTACGGAGAGTGATCCTGCTGAACTGTGACAGAAGCTCACTCTCTGTGCTTCTCAGCTCTCCTCACTGTTATTATCCATGTACGTCGCTACACAGTCAGAGAAGCTTGAAGCCACATTTGTCCATGCTACTGTAGAGTTTAAAGAATAATATGTAGAGTTTAAAGAATAATATGCAATGTAATTTAAACTGTCCATCCATGATAATACTAAGGAGTAGTGTGCCATTGCCTTGCCATTAACCTCTGGGTTGCAAAGGGGCTTGCAGAGAAGCAGCACATGTGCACAAGCTGAAGCTGATTAAACAGCATGGGGGATGTGACAGGATAGGACTCACGCAAGGCTGTCAGCTGAGACATCATCTGATCTGCCAGGCTGATGTCTAACCTTGACTCAGTGGTCTACGCTCTGGTCTATAGATTACTAAAATGACTTTGGAGTGGCAAACATAATCGCTGCCTGGATTACATTTGGAGCCATCTGCGGATAGGTTTAGGCAACTAATGCACTATACTCTGATAGGTCTCTGATAGGCTCCTTTGGTTTGCATTTAATCTCACTGGACAGATTATAAGAGTTCTTAAGCAGGATTACCAAATGTTAAACTTTAAAAAACATTTTTTTAAAAACCCTCCAGACTTTTTATCTCCCTAATTTGTTATAAAATTGCAAAGACCAAATGCAAGACAGAAGGCAGATGAAATGTAAGGGAAATAAATGCATAAACACTACTGGGAACACTGGGAAAATAAGACTATTAGAAACACGAAACAAGAAATTCAACAAACAGAAACAGAAACACACCACACACTAAACAAGCAGGTTTACATGGTTTATGTTTTTTTAAACTCATTGAAGCGGAAAGCCAACACTCTTGATTGCTTTATTTCTAAATCACTGAACGAACAGAGGCATCATTTACTAATTGTTCAGCACGTCATGAAGCACCATTACGAGAACGAGAGAGCCACGAGTCATCTTCACACCCAGATGCCTTTCTGTCAGACAAGGAGCTGCAAAACCCGAAAGAAATATTGTGTGAATCTAATTTGAAGCTATCTGCTTTAAAAAAAAAAAAGCGACTAACAATAGCAGAGCTTCAGCTCCTGACTCAAAGGAAGACTCAAGATCACACAGCAATGGTCTGAATGTGGCACATAACTAGGGCACATTTCCATATGATTTGCATGATCCGTTTAATTGGTTTAAGTCTGGAAATACTTGAGGGATAAAGTTGTTGTGTGGACGTCTTTTTGCAGCTGCATCATCTTGAAATGAAATCAGAGAACAGAAGGCTGGGCTCGAGCTGTGCATAAATCAGTCATTCAGAAGTTTCCTTTGGTTTCATCATCGGCAGTGTGAGGTAGACCCAGACTGATGAGCATAAATGTGACACTGATGTAGTGGCACATACTTCACTATTAAAAGGAGAAAAGTTTTCTTCTTCAGCCCACATAATCTTATTCTCTTGACATTATCCTGAAGAAAAAAGCAGATTGTTGTTTGGTTCAGAATTCAAAGCAAGAATACTTTCTAAGGAGAAAGTAAGTCGATTTGAAAGTATCTTTCAATCACTCTGATTGACAACTAAATGGCCAAAAATAAAATGGGAAACCTATTAATATGAGTCTAAAACCATTATAACACATGTGTCACAGCCCAGAACCTTTCTAGATGTTATTCGATGGAGGCGTGTGTGGAAACATAAATGTCAGGCACAGACATCGGATATTTTTATCCTGCCAGCTCTCTAGTATGAAATCTATACAACGCAATTCAGATCCCAGTGGGTGGGAGTCATGTGCACTGTTATCTGCACCTTTAACTTTAACTTTCAGGCCCCTCTTCAGTGGAACCATTTCCAGTTTGGATTTGGGAGACAGTCACTATCTCTACTTTTAAGATTAGGCTCAAAACCTTCCTTTTTGATCAAGCATATAGGTTTTTTGGGGGGCCTTTTTCAGCTTTATTTGATAGGCTCAGTGAAGAAAGGACAGGAAAGCAGGGGCAGACTCAAACCACTCTCAGCCGTATGACATGTGGTTGTCGCTGCTGGGGGCTTCCCGTGATGCACTCTGCGTTTATACAGCACTTTGCATTTATTATTAGTTATTATTAACCTCTGTCTCTCCTCCACGGTGTGTCTTTTGTCCCGTCTCCCTCCCCTCACTTCCAACCTGTCGCACGGCAGATGGCTGCCTCTCTCTGAGCCTTTGTTCTGCTGTAGGTTTCCTTCCTGTTAAAAGGTCTGTGAAGGTCCTCAGTCATCCAGGTGATCGTAGTCTAATGAGCTTGGAAAGAAAAGCATCTGGACTTCTTTAAGTTTCTTGAAATCAAGAAGTAAAGAAATCAATCAAATCAAGAAACCTAAAGAAGTCCAGACGCTTTTCTTTTCAAGCTCCTTGGACTTCCTGTTAAAAGGGAGTTTTTCCTTCCCACTGTCACCAAGTGTTTGCTCAAAGAGGTTCTCTGACTGTTGGTGTTTTCTCTGTATTATTGTAGGGTTGGTCTTTATCTTACAATATAAAATGCCTTGTTATGATTGATGCTATATAAATATAATAAAATTGAACTGAACTGAACACCCATTTAAAGTTTAACAGTGAACAACTGCTAGTATGATTTTTGACCAAAGAATTCAGCAGCTATCATCAGATTCTGGATGTGAGCGAGGGGGAAACTGAGAAACTAGAATCTTTTTGTCACCTTTGGCACAGATTTTTGGTTCTGTAGACAATTTCTTTGAGGACACCACCCCTGATTCCCCCTCAGATACCTCACTGTTGTTTAAATGGTTTAAGAGAACATTTTTAAATTCCTGTCTTAGGCCCACCTGTGCCACTCTATTTAAAGAAAAAAAAATTCTGGAAATTCTCCTGTATATACAGCAGAAATTTATTTAAAAAAAAAGCATATAAACTTTAAATTTATAAAGAAAACAGTGGAGAACAAATGAAATTCAATTTCATAGCAAACAAAGGACATATTCAGAAACAGACATAAGCCATTTCCAAATGAGTCCATTGCACTTCAACAGTAATAAGACTACAGGAAACACATCAGTACTCTCATGTGAAATACAAAACCTGTTCATGATCAGTCCTGGGAGATCGGTTGAGAACACATATTTTCTGGTATTTTGTGGTCCTGCATGTCAACACAAACTATGCTGCGGTGTCTGTGTCTTTGTGCAAAGGGGGAAAAAAATGTTTGCATTAGCTCAAGGCTCGGCTTTTGTCATCTCAGTGTGTTTAGAACAGAGGATAAAGTCACATTCTTTCAGAAAGATTTAGTGTGCACTTATTTGCACACTCAAAAACTGTAAAAGTCCAAATGCCTTAGGACTTTTAGGCAGGCTTGTTGAAGTTTCAAAATGTGACCATTATAAGCGATAATCACTATCACATGGATGAAATTATCTTTTTGTCCCCTCCAGATTTTTGGTGCGGATGACGTAGTGTGCACAAGGATTTATGTCCGGGAGTGAAGCGCTACGACCTTCATCAGACCGAGGCAGACGCCCATTTGGGCCACAGCTCATTTAAACCCAACAACACATCATGCTAACATGCTAACGCATTTGCGACGTATCCTGTATTATCTCTCAGCATCAGCCTGCTTAGTATCCCATAGCGATGTCTCTGTAATCTGGTTATTAATAGTGAATATTGTGTCAGCAGTACAGTAGCTGGGTATCTCCATATCCATACGTACAATCCCGGTGTCGGTTGTTTAAGTAGGAGTTAGTCATCAGTTGCATCGATTAAATGTTCATGTTCAATGAGAACACACAATAAAAAATGGAAACAAATAGTCTCTGCGCTCATTTCTCGATTACATGAATTTAAAGTGAAAGTGCCCTGGCCATCAAAACATCATTTCAAAGGAATAGTTTGGTGAAAGCACCACAATGAGAGAAACAGCGTTCACATGTATGAGTTGCTTCAGTGACAATGGTAGCAATAGCACCTTTCTACTCTACCTGCGCACTCAAAACGCTTTATCCAACATGCATCATTCACCCACTCCCTCACATTCATACAAGCACTTTTTTACTATCGAACATTCACACTCTGATGGATGCAGGATCAAACCACAACCCTTCTGGCTAGTAGATGTTCTGCTCTACGTCCTGAGCTACAGCCACCCTATGAGCATGCAGTGCAGTCACTCACGAGACAAAACAACTACTGGCATCATCCTACTTTGAATAAAGTCCTGATCAACTAGCCTTACCAGTTTACATGACTGGAAAGAGAGCTGCAACTTCACTGGAAACACAAAACCGCATGTATAGAATCAGTAAAATCTGCAAAAATAAATAAATAATTTGCCCTCTTCCTGGTTTCTTATCTTCTTTTTTTTTGCATATTTGTAATACATATTTCAGATCATCAAACAAATTTTAATAATAGACAAAGATGACCCGAGTAATTGCAAAGTGCAGTTTTTGAATGATGATTTCATTTCTTGGAGGAAAAAGCTCTTTCCAGACCTTCCTGGCCCTGTGTGAAAAAGTAATTGTCACCTTGTTAAATCGAGAATTTACTGAGATTAACCATGTTTTTCGGAAGGCCGAGTCATTTTCATTACATCTCTCAAAAACATCTTGATGATCCCACAAGACTTTTAGGAAAATTTTCTAACGTCTGATCTGACAAAAGCTGAATTTTTTTGAAAGGTTTGCAACCGGTTACTTCGGGCATAAAACTAACACAGCATTTCATAAACAGATTACACAAACAGTCAAACATGGTGGCGTTAGTGTGATGGTCTAGGACATGGATGGCATGCTGTAACTGATGGAACCATGAATCCTGCTCTCTACCAGAAAACTCAGGAGGAGAACTTTTGACCTGAAGTCCTTGAGTTACACAGCAGGACAATAATCTGAAAAACACCAGCAAGTCCACCTCTGAATGGGTTAAAAAGTTTCTCATTCAGTTTTCTTACCCTTTTCTTTACTTCTCTTCCTTATAACGCAATGTTTTTTTGTAGGTCGGCAGTTCACAGCCTCACTTTATAGTGCAAGGACCCTACATAATTAGAGAGAGAACCCCAGTGATCCCTAAGGAAGCACTTGGCAAAAGTGGTGAGGAAGAAATCCCTTTTAGCAGGAAGAAACCTCCAACATGAAGGTGTAGGAATAAATTAATATATAAATAAATAAAAATAAATATATTGTGAGTGAAAAAAGGCCAGTGGAGAAGGAGCGCTCAGTGCATCGTGGAAAGTCTCGTCTTCCAACCTATAGAGGTCTGTGCAACTATAATTTCCCCCTTATAAAATGTAATATGAGCTTAAAATCCCATTGGGCAAACTCATCTGAGTGCTGACTAATGATGTACTGTTACTGACAGCTCCAGAGTAGCTACCAGATGGAGCACAATGTCACATTATTTTGTAAAAAAGATACTGTAAATATTCATGCTGAATTCCCAACTCCAGAAATGTGTTAATGTTAATAAGTCAAAGATTCCACGTAAACAAAGAAACAAACTAACACTTATATTTTTATTTTCTTATTTTGTGCTTTTAGTCCCAGTCATTTAAACCAACCTTGTCAGATACAACAAACATATAATATGAACTTCAAATCTTGACGGTAAAACAGGCGATTGAAGGCACTTTTGGAGTGAAGTGGCAAGAACTCTCAGACACTTGTAAAAACTCAGTTGCCTCTTTTATCAAAGAGATGCAGAAAACACGACATCCCATCATACCCCCGCCTTCCTCTCCTCACCCCTGCTTCTCATCATTAGCGCCGGCGCTTAGCAGAAACTCCAGAGAGACGCGTCTCTGTGTCTGATGCAGCGCTGAGGCAACATGATTAAAGACCGAGCTGGGCCACAAGATAAGACCAGTCACACTGGAGCAAAGGCTTCCAAGCAAGCCTCTGTCATTCCACCTTCACTTATGCCACAGCTACACATTTAAAAGAGTCAACCGTTCACGGAGACATAAGAAGAAATGGAGACATTTGTAAGTTTTTGGAAAATGCATTGAGGGTGTAAAAGAGAAATAGATGCGAGGTAGAAATGAAGGAAATTTGTTTTCATGTGACTTGCTCCCCGGGCCCGTCATGTGGAGGAAGTGTTGGAACAAACAGGCAGAGTTGAGTTGTGGTCACTTAATCTATCTGACCTTGTTTGCTTCATCACCCTTTCAAATCTGTTTCTCAAGTGATCTTTGGTGTGAAAAATAACCACCTGAACTACAAAGTCCAGGGAAAAAAGAAGGACAAGAAGAAGTAGTATTAATGGAAGCATATGTTTATCATTGCTGAGGCAGTTAGATTGAAAAAACAAAACAAAAAAACAATCTGTACGAATTATGATGAACAAAAGGGCGATGACCAGATTGTCAGACAGAAAGAATTAATAGCTGGTGAATTAATCCTTTTTTTAAATGAAAGAATCTGTGTTATCTCCATATTTGTGCACTTTCTGGCAGGAGCAGGTAATATAGCTGTGTTCACTACATTGCTCATTTAGCATCATGACGGCCATCATCCTGGTCTCGTGGCAAAATGAAATAGTCAATAAAATGCAATCTGTTTGTGTACATTTCTTTCATTGCAGTCAGCAGTATTCTGACACCGATAGATTTTGATTAGAGGAATGTTTCATGTCTGCACCGCACATGTTACACAGACTCCTCTGAGCGGACGCCTCGCCGTGGGGATCGTGGCCAAAAACAATACGACTTCAATTCCAGAAAGTTGGAATGCTGTGTAACATAAACAAAAACAGAAGGATTTGGAGATCTCACAAACCCATATTTTATCCACAATAGAACAGAGAAAACATATTGAATGTTTAAACTAAGACATTTGAATATTTCTTGAAAAAAAATATTCACTCATTTTAAATTTAATGGCTGCAACAGGTCTGAAAAAAACGGGACAACAAAAGGCTGGGAATACTTTAAATATGTCATTAGCTACAGCATAGGGTATCATAAAAAATCTGGAGAAGTCTCTGTGTGCAAGGGGCAAGGCTGAAAATCAATACTGAATGACTGATCTTTGAGGACTCGGACACAATTCTGTCATGGAAATCACTGCAATCACTTTAAAGGCCAGCATCTCAGGTGGTAAGAGGGTACACGGCACATCTGGAAAGGCATCATATATGCTGAAAAGTCTATACAGGTTTTAGAGCAATATATGCTTCCATCCATCATGTTTTTCTCAGGCATATTTTAGCAATACAATGCTACACCGCCTACAAAATCTATTACTGCAGCATGGCTTTGTATTTAAAAGTGCTAAACTGGTCTGCCTGCAGTCCACATCTTTTACCAAACTGAAAACATCTGGCACACCATGAAACAAAAAATAAGACAAAGAAGACCCAGGACTGACTCAGGCAAGAATGGGACAACATTGCTCTCCCAGAAATCCAGCAGCTAGTTTTCTCAGTTCCCAGACATTTACGCACTGTTGCTAAAAAACAAAACAAAAGAGGGGATGCCACAGTTTAAAAAAACCAAAACAGCAACAACTAGCTGGTGAACAGAGAGCATTTTTCCATTCAGTAGTTCGCACACAGAACTCAAGTAGACCCACAATGAGTGATAGTGTAGTTCTGTAACTGTTGGATGTGTGATTAAGTAACTTTTTACTCCTAACAAGTTTGTTTTCCCCAGACTGTGATACTGTTGGTTTAAACTTTCTTCTTTACATCTTTTACTTGAACTCTCTTTCCTCGTGTGATGGACTAAGGCTGAATGTTTTTCCCCAGAAAGGCTTCTTTCATGCTAATAGCTTAAGGAAAAGAAAACGGGTTGACTAAAACAAATGCACCCATTCACAAAGGTTGGAGTCAATGGCCCGACTGTTTGAATAGGACAGTTAGATCAGTTATCTGAAAATATGAATGTGAAGTGAATGTGATCAATTTCCTTTATTAATCAGGGTTTTCAAATCTTCTGCGTTAACAATAACTTTGCATTTGTTTTATTTAAACGACATTTCAATGAAGCTCAGTAGCTAATTTACTGTTCACCGTGCACTACTAACATACAAAACTTTCTGCTAAAAAAAAACATTTGGAAACTGCTACAAGACACTTCCACTGAGCAGGTGCACGACACATAAGCCTATGGCCCAGGCCAAGAACGCTTCAGCCTTAGCACAGGGAAATGTGTCACAGCCTCACCAGTGGTTGGAGGCCTTGGCGTGGACTACAGTCGTGTCCTTGGGGTGGATATGGCGAGAAAGTGGCACAACATCAAAAGACAAAAAGCAAATCTGTCTTTGTCCTTCACGGCTGCCAGGGATTAAAAGGTTGTCCTTTGAACAGTTGGACTCGCAAGGACTTACACAGCAGCACTGCTTCTGTTCCCATTCCTCAACGCCAAGACTGTGAGGACGAGTCCATGCCAGTCCTGCTTTTTGACCTGGTATCCGCTCAAAGAATGAATTTCCTCCTCAGTGCACCACAATGCACCGGGAAGCAAGGGCCAGGGCGCGCGCCTGCTGTGATGTTAATTTAATGACGAGCTGCTGTTCAGATGGCAGGTCCAAACAGCTGAATAAAGCAATTGTTGTCTTTTTGCTCCATTTTGTAAAGACTGGGGGGGCCCTCCACCTCAAGGGGTGCTCTCTCCTGTTTGGTGCCCAGAAGGGAGCAGCTCTTCTGGGCACCAAACAGTAGATCCTCTGTAAGTACACTGGAGTACAGTACTGCAAAGAAAATAAAAAGTTCCCCTCCTCTTCACTGCTTGTTTATTGAAAGAGGCTCATTTGGATTTTTTTCCATCTCCCCCCACAATAAGACTTTACCCTAATTAGTTAATTAATCTTAA